GTTAAAAAGAGAGGAAAGAGAGAAAGAGCGTGATTAAACAAACCGTTTTAATTTTATTTTCATTATTTTAGAAGGAAAATAATTTCACGATACCAAGATGAAAGCGATCGGGTTGGAAGATTTAATCGGTTAATAATTTCAGCGTAATTGTTTCAACAATTGTTGTTGGGAATAATTCCTCGTATCGCGTGGCTAAGATTGAGAAATGGAACGGATCCCCCAAGGGAATCGTTAAAACCGCGACCGTTCGTGAGGCGAATTGCTCCTCGATAAACGATCCATCGATTAATGCTCGTTCCTCAAACATGACAGATTTCCTCTCATTTTTTTCATTTCTTCAAACGAGCCAATGACTCATCCTGGAAAAAAAATGTGTCGAACAAATATCAACATTCAAATTCGGACTTTCGCGTTTGATTACGTACGAAAATTGAATTTTAATCTACGAAAATAATTCATTCTCTGTTATCGTCGAATTAATTCGTACACGATTAGAAATTTCCTAATCCCGATTTCGTGAAAGGGAAAAGAAATCACCGGGCTGTTTCGATTGATTAATGAAGAAAAGATTGCAAATTCTTGCTCGTTAATACTTTTTATCGCGAAAAATTTCTCCGCGTATAAATGAATTAGAGTATATATAGAAAGAAAATATTACATTTTTATCTTTAAATGCAATTTTTATAAGAAACACGTAACATCGTTTTCGGGGAAAAAATCCCTCCCCTGAAGAATCATTATTTCATAACCAACACATAACGACACGTAATGAAAAAAGAAAAAAAAAAAAAAGGAAGAAAACAAACAAACAACGCTACATTAATCCACGTATTACAGGGCAAACGTTGAAACGAGCGAGCGAGTAAAATCAATCATGCCGTTTGAAACGAGGCGCACGAGAGATGGAACGGGCACAATTTCCAATCCATTAGAATCAATTTTCTTAATCCAGGATCGCACGGAACGCACGCGGCTCTTGATGTCGCTCGTTTCACCGCTTGATTGCGATTCCTCCTCGGCCTACACGTCACGAACAGTTCGCAACAAATCGGTCGACGCGAGCACGAACGATCCAACAACCTAGATAACACGGTATCCATTGATGTCGGGAGGAAACGATCGAGTTCCAGGGACAAAAGTCGCTCGATTTCTAGCCTCTTGCGTCTTTTTTTTCTTCCGCTTGTTTCCGGTGGAGAGCGCCGCTCTTTCTTCGAGATCGTTGATCCTTCTCTTTTTTTTTTTTCTATTTAATCTCCGTAGAAAGGAAGGATATTTTCCTTCCAGAATCGACGATTTTCTTCGCCCCCGGATATTGATAAAATTTTTTGCATAAAATTTTGCATAAAAAGATGCGTCAAATGTTTCCCTCTTTTTCTCGTCTGATTCTGATCATCGAGAAATCTTGAGTAATCAGAGCTACGAATTATTCCAATTTCGAAGTTTCGAAATATTAAATAATCCTGAAAAATGTATACTTATGCAGTATTATATTATGATAAATAATATAATATGATATAATTTGTGCAAGATCGATTGGCAAGCCTCGTCGTAACTCTATCAAAAATCAAATCGTCGCGTGACGATTTTTCATTCTTCTCTCTCCTTCGATCGTTTCGTTCCTTTTTTTCTATTAAATTAAATCTTCTTCCCGCGATTTCATTCATTAGACCGGTTTCCAACCAAGGAGGAATCGATCGATGCTCTTCCAACGCTCGTCGAAGAGCGCCGACTCATTCAACAAGGAACGCGTTTTCTCGTTTGAACCGTTAAGGACGCGAGATCGTACCTCGAGATGGAAGCGGGTGAGACACAGCAAGAGGAAGAAGAGGAAGACGGTGTAGAGAAAGAACGAGGAGGAAAAGCCGGATTCCTCCTAGACTTGGATCGATGAAAACAATGGAAAGAGCGGGAAAGATTCGAGAGGCAGGTCAACTTGTTGTTCAAATTCCATTTTGTTGGAATTCAGGATCGTGAGCACGCATCTCGAAGTAGCAGTGAACGTTGTAAAATGTAGGTGAACAACTTGTTCGACCAGTTCGCGATAAACTGTTATATGCACTGGCACTATGCCATCCTTAAAACCTATTTCTAATGGCAATGCCAACGACTGGTTACTGGAGAAAAGAGAGAAAATGGAGGAAAAAGTTGTAGGCGAATATCTTACAAATGGTCTGTTTGAAATGATGGATAATTAGATGGTGGAGTATCATTTTCTTGCCTTTCCTCGATTTGAATTAATTGATATTGTGTAAATGTACGAAAGTATCGTTGGATATTATTTACGAAAAAGAAAAAAAAAAAAACTAAGTTCTCTGGCGAAGCGTGTGAAAAAAGATTTTGTCGAGTGAATTATTTAAACGATTCGAGACGATTTCGAGAGATTTTTCTTTATTCTTTCGAGTGACAGTGCATTTCGAAGAAATTTGCAAAACGTTAAAATAAAAAAAAAAAAAAAAAAGAAGAAGAAGAAATTAACGAAAGAAATTTGTGGAAATAATTTCGTTGGAATAAATAATTTTTACATCGAGATATAAATTATATAGGATAAAATAATTATGTTCCTATATTTCGTTAAGTACAGTGTTTAAGTACACGGTTGATTAACGACAAGAGAAACCGTAGAAAAGTTCGTACGTTCTTACGAGTCTGTTAGACTCTCGATTATAAGGAAATAACCTGATTCCACGTTGCTGGATTGAATAACGAAAGGCCGTATCGTAGTACTATATATTATCGTAATCATTCCGTAATTCTTGAATTTGGTACGTATCAAATGGTCGAATACCTTGGGAGAAAATCTCTCGCGTGGTTAACGAATTCACCTGGAACAATCGGTCGTTGTATGCAAATGTCGAATATACGCCTTAATTCAAACAAATCCCGATGAAATTCGTAAAATTACGCGTCGAATTACATTTTTCCCTTGCCTTTATATTATGCAACGACTTCTCAATATTTCAATAACAAGTGCATGTTGCGGGACAAATGTCTCTCTTTACACGTCAAATTTATCTGCAATGCTTACGATCGAAGTAAGAAAAATTTTTTTTCAAAATTTGAAGTTTCTTAATTCGTCAAAAAAAAAATATATATATATATATTAGAAGTTCGAATTGTGGTATTAATCGTCGAAAATTATAAAAATTTTCCAACGTTTCACTTACTTTCAAATATAAACGTGAATTTCGTATAATTGCAAATCATCGGAAATCTGTCATCTCGACACTTCTACTCGATAAAAATCAATCGGAGTCCAAGTATACTTTGGCACGCGAAGAAATGATCATCGCGTGTTTAAAAACGTCTCGTCGTAGGATAAAATGAATTATCGATCCTTTATATTATATATAAAGTACAATATCCACGAATTTTTCGTAGAACGTGATCAAATTTTAATCCGACGTATCGTGTACTCGACGCGAAATTTCCAATCTTCTTCCTCCTTCCCATCCCATCTTGATTAATTAATTAATCACGAATTTTTGTGAAACGATGCTCTTAAATACGTGATACTTCCAGACTCGTTTAACCAATCAAACGACACTAATGGAGATAGGTGGCGTTGTTTCGCGAAATACGTGGAAATAATTGGTACATGTATACCGATTAGCCGCGCTTGCCATAATTACAGCAATTGCTCCTATATAGGCGGAGATCGTGTTCGACTCGGTTAGGTTAGGCCTCCTAGGTTTCCCTCGTTTAAAAGTTCGTCAGCTGACTGGTGGCGCGCGCGCGCGCGCGCGACTAACCGGTCGAATGGCCTGGCCGATCGAGTTTACGGTCGTAATCGAAAGTTTTCACAGTCGACGGCCACCAATGGAGATTGCGGAAAATCAGATGGAAAGAAGTCGAAACTCGCAAAAGGCGCAAGGAGGCGAGGATCGACCGGTGAACACCGGTTTGACACTGAACGAACAACGAAGAATCTCGAATGGCTTAATCCCTTTGACGACGATCCACTTTAGCGATCAGTGTGTGCGTGCGTTTGCGCGCGTGTGTGTTTACTCTCTGCGGTTTGCTCTTGATATAACGGTGCACAATTACCCCGTTTCTCTCTCGTTCGTAGGTGATAAAACATCCGAGATTCCACCTGTGGTTTTCGACCATTGATCAATTTTCTTCTTCTTCTTCTTCTTCTTCCCGTACTTTTTCTACTTCCTGGATGCGTGCATTCCATGTACGCTTGATTCGATTCGTGGCAAGATCGTGCATAATCCATGATCGTTTATCGTATTCGTTGTGTTTCGCGATAAATACGAGGAAATGACACTCCATTCGTTCGAACGGAGAGGACGAAACGAAGCGCATTCGATTCGTCGAGTGAAATTCGGCCGAGGGACGTCATCTTTATTTTCGACTACATTTACGAAAGTTGGAAAAATAGTTGGCGTGGAAGACACGATCGTCCTTACATATACGCGTTTTATTATCTCGTAAACACATCACCACGTTCAATCACACAGTTTTCCTGGATATAATAATATCTCTTGCTACACAATTCATCTTGTATCATCACTTCACTCGCGGCCAGGTCGACGCGCGAAAATCCACGTACTGTCGGGAACGTTCTCGAAGGAGGAAACGATGCTCGGCGAAGAAAGAGAGACAAAGAGTTGGCAAGGAGAGAGAACAGGAAGAAACGCAGGAAGAACGTTGCTACTGTGACTGGGAAAGGAGGGAGAAACAAAGGAAAGGAGAAGAAGAAGAAGAAGAAGAAAAAACGGAGGAAAAGAGAAGAAGCAGCGGGAGGAAGAAACGGGTCGAAGACCGCGAATCCGCCAAGGACGAGGACGAGGATACCGGAGCGCAGCGCAACGGGTGATGAAAAAGGACGGGCGATGGAAGAAGAGGAGGAAGAAAGGAAGGAAGAAGCGGTTAGATGGCACGCAACGATAAGGAGAGAGGAGCGTCGACAAAAGGATCGTGCATCAACGTAGAAACAACAAGAACGATTAGGAAGAGAGATTAGAAGAGAGAGCAGAAGAAGAAAAATGACTCACCGCTCTTCCTGCCGGACACTTGCGTGACGCGTATGGCGATCGTGATCCTCGCGCAGAGGACGAGAATCGCCGCGAGGACGATTCTCGTCCCGATCCGGTAGCCGGCCAACTGCGGTCTCATGTTTGGCGGAAAGTTTCTCCCGGTGGAACTAGATCTCTCCGACTTGTGGCGAGACTTGCTGAGGCAATGGCTCAGCGCCGACTGAGACGTTCTTTGTGGTCGCCGCGCTCTATCTCGACCGTCACTTCTCTCTCTCGTCGCCGTTTCACACCGGCGATAGCCCCTAGGGGAGCGAAAAACTACCACCGACTACGTGAGCTACGTGACGACTGCGAGGGGACTGTTGTTGTTCGTAGCCGGGGCCCGCGAGGAGGTCACGCAATTCCCGAATTCACGGCGTGCAGAATTCACGCGTGTGTCGCTCTTAATCCTTTACCCGTAGTCCACCGTGTGCTGTTGTACATCTATTTAAAACCTATCGCTCCACCTCGCGCTCCTTACCATTGGCTCCTGCCCCAATTCCTTGTCCAATGATACACTCTCGCGCGCATTCACCTCCTTTTCAGATCGAGACGTGCAACGAGGGGAGGTGGAGAGGTGGCAGGGTCTATCGGCCGGTAGGTGGTAGCGATATCGGGTAGGTGGTAATACGTCCGGATGCTTGTAAGGCGCCGAGCTAATAATCATAGGCATAAAGGCATGGAAAAAGCGACGCTCGAGTTCCCCTCCGCGACTCCGGCTCCTTCTTCCTCTGATGAAGGTGAAGGGGTTTTAGGTGGGGTTCTTACTTACTGGCCGCCCTTCTACGTGCCCGTTTCTACCGTCTAACAGCCCGTCTGACTTCCTCGCGCAGTGGAGTACGTGCACGTGGAGGGGCCTTGCGTGCCTCTACGCTCTAACTTGCGCTTCGTTCCTCTATCTTTCAGAAGTTTCATCGCGTGGATACACTGCTCGACCGGCCTCGTCGTGTTCTTTCGCTTCTTCGAGTATGAGGAACGCGGGCAGATTTACTTTGATTGATGTACACAAGTTTTCCTTCGTTTCCTTCTTGCTTCCATTCGATTCGTGTTTTAGATGGAGATCCATCGATGCTCAGATCCAATCGTCTTCGATCTTTTTATTAAAGACTTATCGCAATATGGTGTTCGAAATGAAATATAGAATTCATAGAACTTTAGAAAGATTGGACAAGTTTTGTCCCCGATTACGGGTTTCCACTCGATGTACGTAATAAATATCGGTGGACAGGTGCTATTTATTGGTCGATGAAAAATCTCTAGATTTAGCGAACGGCGTGTTAAGTTTAACGTATCTGGCCTGGGTTTCGAAAGCGGTCGAATAACGCGACGGTTGCCGAGATTTATTCAAATGGTACGCATATTTATCCCGGATCGGGTAAAAATATTCGCGGCTGCCTCGCCGATCTTCGATTTCTCCTTTCCATTTTTTTTTGTCTATCGTCAAAAATACGCATCGATCCGGTTTAACGATCGAACGGTTGTTCGATTGAAATATCGATCGTCTTCGACCTGTGAAAAATCATTATACATTTGTAAATCTGGCGCAACGAATTTGAATATTACGATATCGTAAATTGATTTGATCGATTCGTCGATCGATCGATGATAATTAAATTTCAATCGATGAATGAGACGTAAATTTTCAAATATCAAAAGTAACTAAATATTTCTAAATAACAGCAGTAAAACAGAGAGTAAATCGATTCAAAGTATCAAAATATATTCCGATTCAATTAATATCAATATACTGTACTTAGATAATAATACCATTATTGCGTTTATTACTTTTTCCTATGCTCCGTCATCGAGTTGGTTTAAACTAGTTTTACGCCGTACTATTTAATCATTCGTTACCGTAAAGAGCGGACACGCGCCACCTGTTATAGAGCAACTATCACGGCGAAAGCTCGTAAAAGCGATTATATCGGAGCGTATCGAAAGGATCCGTTGCGTCATCTCTTCATCCTGGATTCGTGCTAGGCCGGAAAGCAGCCTAGCACGAAGAAGAAAGGGAGAGAGAAGAGAGAGAGAGGGGAAAGGATGGTGGTCGTAATTATCGAATGATGCATAGAGGAAGCGATATTTCGTGTCTCCAGACGAAATCCAATCGATTGAGAACCTGTTTCACCTGATCGAGAATCGATTACCGATTCCGTGAAATTATCGGCCTAGCTTTAACTGGTGGCAAACGAAACTATCGTTCGAAGACGATTATACAGTACATTTCCATGTTAATCGCTTACCGATCAATGCACGTGTCACGTAATTTATTTCACGATTTTTAATTTGATCATTTTATACGCGTGTTTCAAAAGTGGAAGTTAAAAGTGTTAAGTTTTTCGTTTTTTTTTTTTTTTGTAAAATCTCTTTGACGAAGTAAAAGTAAAAGTTTTACTTACAACGCGTAAATCACAGGGTACCATCGAAAGTGATTTGTATCATTCGATATATATATATATCCTTATTGAATATTCATTAAGTATACACTTTTACAAAAGAACAAGAGGAAGTTTATCCGAGCATTTTCGATTCTTCTTTCTCAGGATGCTACTAAACAGTGTTTCTCAACCAAATAATTTATTATCCGTTCTTTTTATAAGATGAATATTTTTAATAATTATTTTTATTAAACGCGAATAATTTTTAATATACATTTCTATATATCGAAAATTTCCTATATAAAAATTTCCCTATATAATTAATCAGATCGATCACGAGTCATTGGACGAAGATTGCCGATCTCTGTCTAAAAAATATTTTCGACCCCTATGATAAACGCTTCTCGTAATAAAATTCCAAAATAAATTCCAAAAACAAAACCGATTGCCACAACTTCTCCAATCCAAACTTCTCCACAAGTTGAGGATCCATGACACGAAACAACGAAACATCCATTTTCGAGGGAAAGGAAAAGCGATCGAGGAATGAGAGTGAAAAGCAAGAGCAAAACGGCGATAAGATAATTGGAGAAGAAGGAAGGGAAAGGAGGAAGGAAGGAGAGAAAGAGAAAAATCGCGTACGCTTTTCTCTCCCGGGTGGAAAGCAGCCTGAACGTGGAAAGCAGGCGTGCTGCGTAGACGAGAGGCGAAGCGTGCCAGTGAAAAGTGATTTGTATCGGACACGCGACGCATTTCAACTCGGCCTCGAGCCCCTAAGTTTTTTTTTTTTTTTCGAGCATCCTCCACGATACGGTTCAACGACATCGCTGAATTCCTTCCGAAATCGAAAGGGAAGTCGAACGATCGAGATCGATGCCAACAGTAAGTTGGCATCGATTGGCAGTTGACACGCTCGACGCTGATGAATTCAGCCTCGAGTGAATGGAACCGATCCACGCGACTGACTGCCTCTGACTTCGGATAAATTTCACATTTCACGTTCCGTTTTGCTCCCTTTCCTTTTCGCGCGTTTCTTCGTCACTCGGAGAGGTTTATCGGCGTTCGATCGTGGAAATTGAACGCGATATTACGCGGTTCTTTAAGTCGGATCGAGATATAATAATTTTAGAAAGGTTCGGTTTAGATAGGAAGGGATAGGTTGGATAACTTCTCGAATATAATTTCTTGGCTGTGACTGGTTTATATTTGAATTTCGTTTTTATTGACCGGTTTAGAAGAATATTGGTGATTATGGTTATGCGTGAGTGGCATAATCGGTTTGGGCGGTTTTTAGATGTCGGGAAAATGTGATTTCGTTCGTTTATTAGAATGTTGATTAATTGAAACGGTTATATCGATTCGAAGTAACGCGAGTGCCAAGTTATTAAATTTAAATTTTATCGATTTTATTCTTGTTAATTTTAATAAGATAAAAGAGCAACGCGATAAATTATTATCGAATATTGTTTTCTCTCTCCAAGCTTTCCAAGTACCTCTTCTTTTTTTTTTTTTTGTCCAATCAAAATAGGATTTCCCTCGAATATACACCCGCTGAGTTAATTTACACTTTCTCCGCTGTGAATGAAGCCGCTTCGAGCCCAGATCCATCATCTCGACGAGTTTTTGTCACCGTGAAAGTCTATTATGAAATAACGTGTGTTTCCCCCGGACGGAAATCAGCTAATTGTTAAATCAACGCCTACGATCGCAGAGAAGAGAGGCATTGTCCTGTGAAATTTACGACTTCGTCGCGGGAGAAACACCGTCGTGGAATTTACACTAACCGAACAGACTGTTTAGATTTGCTTATTAGCGTCGAAAGAAAATTCGTACGCGACGCATTTCTTCGATTCAAACCAATCCATTTATCTTAACTTTCGAGCCAAAGTGTGAGTGAGAAATTAAGAAACAAGAAAGAAGTCATCGGACTTCATCTGCAACGAAAATTTCTCAAATCTCAAGTTTGCGGAAGTTATTCATTTCTCGAAGAACACCGACCGATTAAACCTCACTCGTTTCGACTCGTAAGAACAAGTGACGGGACGAGTTATTCTCGGCGTGTCTCGACAGCTACACGACATCGAAGAATGCATCGCGTTTTACGAAAATTGCCTCGCGTTCAACTTCGAATTTCTTTCCCATTTTCCTCTCTCCCCTTCCCCCTCTCCGGCCGATTAACTCGACTTTTCGATCACGTAAAAGTAAACGTAGCGTGGAACGAGAGCAGAGAGGGGGAACGCGTGTTTCCACGCGAGACTGTTAACCACGGCGCGTGATAATAATGCAAAATTACGATATCGTCGTTGCTCGAGAGACAACACTGTGCTAAATCGTTGACAGCCAACCGATCCGAGGAAATGTGATCGCGCGCAGAAGAAAGACTTAGTTTCGAGATCGATCGGTAAACGTTCAGAATCATTTCAGAGAGTCCTCTTACCAAGGATCCGTGCGCAGACACAGGCCCGATTGGATAGCACGAATGCGAGTAATAAATATAGGATGAATTTTAGAGCTGGTGGAATGATCTGTCGTTGTCCACACGGTAAAAGCCAACCATCGCGGTTGAAAGCCACGCGCACGAGTCGGTGTGCAGTTCCTGCTATACCATATTCCGAATGTAGATCGTGACTGTGTACACATTTTATCGATCCCTGGGATCGTGGCTGTTTAGAAGGTGCACGGGCAATGACGTAACGAGGCGAACGATTGCAGAACAACGAGACCAGATTCTCGATCGAATGTAGCGCAACCGGATAAATGTTCCTGAATGTCTGTCTCTCTTCCGAGTATAGAAACGAAAAACTTGTAAAACCCGTGCATGTCCCGCTATGCTTTTGTTTACGCGGATTCCTTATATCGATATTCCTCGATCGCGAATTCCTTTTCTCCTCCCCTCCTCTTTTTTCGAGATTTCGTTGCTCGTATTGGCAAACTCGGTCGGTT